GGGGGTCCGGGGGCAAAGCTCCCCCGGGAAGATTTATTTTTAAATATTGAAGTTAAATGCATCAATCTGGTGCACTTTGAGAGCAACATGAAGAGATCTATGGATACACCTCTCAACACCCATTTGAAACAGAACTGTAAACAGATTTACTTTTTCTTTATGGATATTTTACAAATCACCTTTTAAATTTTTTTTTTTTTTTACTGTCGTATAGTATTTCATACCTGTTTTTCATTTATTCTCTTTTTATAACTATAATGATCATATAAACGTGTGCCTCGGAAATAATTGTTTACATCAAAACGTTTGAGACCCACTGATATAACTTAGACTAAAGTGAACTATCTAAACACTCAAGAGTCCTTGAGCTCACTGAGTCTCTCAGTCTGACTGGAGAGGACTCTCCTCCACTTTGTTGTTGAAAAAACTCCTTATATCCGTTAGCTTAGCTCGCTAGCACCAGAAGCTAACAACAACGATCTCCGGTACCGGTGCGCTCTCTCTCTCTCTCTCTCTCTCGCGCACACAAAATGGCTCACACACACACACACACACACACACACACACACACACACACACACACACACACACACACACACACACACACACACACACACACACACACACACTCACACTCACACTCACACTCACACTCACACTCACACACACACACACAGAGCCAAGCTTTAATGAAACACAGAGACCCAGACGTAATAGTACTGTACTGCATCATATTATTTTCGAATTAATACTTTTTCAAATTATGATTTTTTTTTTTGTATCTTTTTTTTTTTTGTATAACCATTTTTCCTCCTGGTCTCTCTCGCCCCCCCTGGCATGCCTCTGCGCCCCCCAGGGGGTTAATATTAACTAAAATAAAAATATTAGGTTCAACTTAATATTATTGCTTTCAACTAATCTAATGCAGCAATGTAAAATGTGTTGACATAATGCATAAAGAATAAAGAATAAAGATCAATACAGTTATTGAAATCAAATCTTTTTTCTCTGTCTCATTTATAATTGTTCTCTTAATGTTTGTGTAACAGTGTGTGTCTCTCATTTCTCTCCGTGTCCCTTCACCTAATTTCCCCCTCCCCGGCTCTTCAGACCTGAAGGTCAGGTAGCACGTTGCAGAGCATGACTATAATTGTTTTCATATATTCCATTGCGCAGTGTTCCAGCTTGTGTTTTTATGGGTTGGCCGCACTCTCTGGCGGCCCCCTCAACAAGTCCTTTATAGGAAAGATGTTTAGCATCAGAGTTATGCAACTGTTTTTCAGTTTGGTGTCCATGAGGGAGTTGGATGTCTTGACATCAATGCGATCTCTGCTTAAACTTGTTTATTCATGCTGTGGGACTTGTGTGGGAACATGTACGCTCTAATTTTAAGGTATTGGTCCTCCACTTTGTATTTTATTCAGGGACAGGAACATTGTGGTTGTATGAAAAGCAGGCAGGAGAAATTCGTAAGGGTCTGGTTTAAGCTTTAAAAGTGATTAAAGGGCAATACAACTGTAATCCGATTTTATATGGTTTTATACAAGCCTGTCACCAACAACAATAACATGAGCAAATGACCAATTCTCTCACGACCTCGATCACAAAATAATAGGTTTATGTGTTGGCCAGAGATATTGAAGTGTGTGGTCTTTTCCACAATCAGTCTGTATTCATGTTATTTTCTGCACACACCTCGAAAAGGGACATCTAGCAGCTTTGACCCAGCCATATTTATATTTTTGATAGTCATCACTTTTAAAAGTTGTTAATGTGTAAGCAAACAACTGCCAATCTTGCTAAGGGAATACCATACATTTATATTTATTTGGAGTTGGGTTTTTGTTACCTGACACATTGTATTCCAACATTCGTTGTATGTTTTCAATTCACTGATGTTTGGGTTTAAGTGGCTAATTTCTCCATTATGTTCGGTTAACTATACTGGGCAGGAACATTTGTATATAACTTGCTGAATACTTGGCTTAAATTGTAGAGACTGTTTACCTAAAACAATAGGATAAAAGGGGCTAAAAGGATCTGTAGAGATGGGTTTATATGATCTGTTCATTACTGTGAGGGACCCCTTCTCCTTAGACGATCCATGGTTAATATAAAAAACAATGCTTGGTGTAGTTTTACATTTCAATGATGATATTTGGTAACTTTGGTAATGTGTTTGCATCCACTTTCCAATCTTTGTGACTAAGCACTCTACCTTGGGCCTGTTGGTCTGTTTCTTGCTCAGGATGTCGCCCAGTTCAGTTTTTGATTCGCTGTTGTCGCTGAGCCCCGCCTCCTCTCCCAGCCCGCTGTCCTCCGTGTCCAAACTGCTGCTCCTGGACCCCAGCTTCATGTCCTGCAGCAGACGCATCTTGTCTCGGATGCTTCCGTCAGCAGCGGTCTGTAGCGCCCTCATCTGGCGCCTCCTTGTTGGCGACTCATTACCCAGGAAAGGCTTGCTTTCTTCAGGCCCTGCTTCCATCTTCCCTCGGATGGCGTTTACCACGGAGCTGCTGCTGCACTCGCTGCGTTTTGGCTGCACGGACTTGGCCACAGAACCGGTCCGGATGCCACTGCTGTCGCTAGCATCGGCTGTGAACACTCGAGGAGGGTTGGTGACCTTGACCTCCCGGCTGCGCGCTTTTTCGTCCACCCCTTCGACAGAGTCCGGCATCCAGCCGCTGGGGATGGCGTCCTGTATGTCGGAGTGTTCGGTGGCCCAGCCCTGCCAACTCTTAGCCAAGTTGGCCACCATAGCGGCACATTTTATTTTCCGTACGGCCCGTTTGAAAGCCTGGGGCTCCTGTGGGGAAACTGTGCTGGTCCCACCGCTGCTCATTGTAACAGGATACCAGAAGAGCTTCCAAAAATTGGTATTTCTCTTGTCTTGTGTTTTTCCGATTGGTAAAGTCTTGCAGGGTGTATTGTGACAATTCCTGGAGTTGTCTTCCAAGTTTTTGAATCTCTTTTGGGTGAAAAGAGTTGACGTAAATCTTGCTTTTCTCTGAGCAAATACTCAGTTATTGGTTCCAAATGAAGACTTCAATATTGGAAACTCATCGCTTGAAACTTCCAGGTGATCACAGACAAAAACGTAGCCTTTAAAGCCGTTGTGGACGTCCACAGAAGGTTAGGACCCTTTCCAGATTGTCAGTCGGTCAGTGGGTGAGCTGCTGGTGTGAAGAGTGCAAAGACTTTGACTTTAATCCCCGCTGAAGCCCAACATCGGCCTTTAAATAGGGTGAGGGTCGTAAAGGAAGTGATGCTGCACCGTGGCCACGTGAGACAGGAAAGTCCAGTGTCAACATTCTCACAAGTTCCCACACACACACACACACACACACACACACACACACACACTGAGGAGTGGAATTTCTCCCAGGGAACAGGTGCCAGTGTTTTTAGCGACTGGGGTTTCTGTCACACAAAAAATAGGTTGAAACACAAACAGGCTTTTGCTCTGAGTCAGAGTGTGAGTGTGTGTGTTCATTGTGTATATATAGCGATGTTTTCATTCAAATATGCAATTTTCCTTTATGGAACAAAACAATGTACTTTAATCACTTTGATGGCAGTGTCAGTGTGCATTTCTAGATTGGGGGTCACATGAAAAGCATCTGAGCGTGTGTGTGTGTCCGTGCATGTGAAGCGTTCAGTCTGTGTTTATCTGTGAGTATGTGAGTGAGACATTCTGGCTCATGGCTCTCGGTGATGGATGCAATTAAAGTGACTCAATATTGGCTTCAAAAGCAAAATTACTCATTTGTTCTCAGCCCTTATCTGATATATGACGTATTTAATTTTTTTCATTAATTATATTTGTGTTGCTTGTTGGCTGGTTTCACTGAATATTGTTCTGCTGGGGTCTTGGTATGTTATTTGCCATTTAATCAATCAGTTATTATTTTTTAATTACGTGTCATGCTGAGCATTTGGCCCATGCGACATTATTATTATTATTATTATTATTATTATTATTTAATATAACGGCTATCATTGCCAATACACATCATTCAAACATGAATATATTTAACATTTAATTTAGCCTATTATTACATGCTGATGGTAACTTTAAAACAACATTTCAATGGGCTAAAGATCAAATAATGATGGTGGCCATCACGGGCAAACGCGCTACAATCAATCAATCAATCAATGTTTATTTATATAGCCCAATATCACAAATGTTACATTTGTCTTAGTGGTCTTCACAGTTTTTACAGAATATCAGTATGACAACACGACACCCTCTGTCCTTAGACCCTCACATCTTACAAGGAAAAACTTCCGGAGAAAACCCACAGTTTAAAGGGGAACATGGGAGAAACCTCAGGGAGAGCAACAGAGGAGGGATCCCTCTCCCAGGACGGACAGACGTGCAATAGATGCCGTGTGTAAATCGAAAAGATAATACATTTACAACATAGGTAGACCAAATGTTTGGAAATGCATGTGTCTATAGAAGATGAATCCACAAGGATGTCAGCAATCTTGTGGGAGCCATCAGGGAAGTAGTATGGTGAGAGTCAGGCAGGACCGCAGAGAAAGGTTCAGCCACGACTCGAAGTCCAGGACTCAGATCCAGAACTCAGGATCCAGGACACACGACCACAGCAACAGGATTACATTACATTACATGTCACTTGTTACACGCTTTTATCTAAAGCGACATACATACTCAGTACTGTGAACAAACGGCCGGAATCACTGCCGGGCTTACTGTACATTATGAGATGCTGACCCGGAGGTCGACGGCCGGAACACTACCACTAAACATTGCCGACACACTGGTCGAT